AAAATGGCGGCGAGCTCTGCTAGGGTTTCGCCCGATGGCGAAATCCAACTTTAACCTTCGGCTTCACTCCATCGTCTTCGTGCGTGGCCACTGTTTCGTCAGCTTCGGATACAATCTCGCAAGTTGTTTACCGAGCCTTCTTCATTCTCGGTCGTCTTCTCTGAACAGCTACGCCAGCACCGCGACGTCGCTGTTTCGTCGCTGCTTCGCTTCCTCGTTGCACGTCGCTGTTCCCGTTGCTCAGCGACAGTGCACACGCAGTGAAGCACCAGCCAAGGTTAACGTTTGCTACACCGCCGCCCTCGCTAGTGATAACCCCGCTCCCTTCGCTCTTTCGAATATGTTTCCGCAACTTTTGCTCTTGGCGTTGAAACCGGATTTCTCAAAAAAGCATCCCGTAAAAATGACAAACCTGCAATCTTTCTCACAGAGGCCGAGATCTCCACCCTAGCTGCCCCTGTCGACTGTTCTTAGTAGTTAAGTTTTTTATGGAAACCCTAAACTTGAGCTAATTCGAAAGGATTTTGAGCAAATGAAGCTGAAAGGGGGTTGGAAGATTAGTAAATTGGATGGTCAGCACATTCTCATTCAATTATCAAATGATGTAGACTATGCTCATTTGTTTGTGAGAAAACTCTTTCGAATAGACAACCAGGTGATGAAGGTTTTAAAATGGACGGTGGATTTTGACCCTCGTACTAAACCTCCTAACATTCTTGTTTGGCTGCGCTTCCCAGGTTTGAAGGTTCACCTTTACGATCAAGAGCTCATCTTCGCTTTAGCGATGGTATACGGTAAACCTCTCGAAACTGATATACCTACAGTGAATCTGACTCGGCCTTCTGAAGCCAGAATTTTGATAGAACGAGATATTACTTTACTTTTTCCGGGAGAGATATGGATTGACAGACAGCATCAGAGATTTTGGCAGCAAGCAAAACTTGAACAGATACCTCTTTATTGCACCCACTACCGGACGTTTGGACACTCTCTTTTTCATTGTTATCATTTGCATCCAAATCTAAAATCTCAGAGTAAAAATGCTACTGGATCTGCCCACTTTATACATATCCCTCTTCCACCATCGAGTGCATTCCACAGACTTTTGAACACCGGTTGACACCATGCCACCTCTCCCTCCCACTACCTAAGACAATATTATTTTTGTTCTTCCGACTGATGTATTGGCAAATGGTTCACTTGGGCATCCTACAGTCTCTATCACTATTGAAAAAAATACTGCAAGATCCTTACCTCCAAAGGATATTCTTCGGTCTGATAATCAGGATAGTATCACAGCTCCACAACATCAGGAAGCATCAGGTGCTAAGGAGACAGATTTATCATCTCTTCAGAATGAGAATGTTGTTACTGTTAATCAGGAGCTAAGGGCTCATCCTCTTCTACATGCCCGACAATCTGTTGATCACACTGATCAGATGAGCCAGTCTTCGGATGAGGAATGGCAGGTATACACATAAAGGAAGAAAAAGAAGAATGGAGGCACACCCCAGCTTGGGAACTTAATGGATGATACTTTAGTAACTTCGGGTAATGGCACGACGCT